GGCTGCCAGTTGTTGTTAAGTGCCATCTGGTTGATTCTGACTTAGTGACCCTGTATAGGTTTCCAAGGGTTTAAATCTCTTTGGGAGCAGAAAGCCTCATCTTTCTCTCAGTGAGTGACTGGTGGGCAAGAACTACAGACCGTGTGGTTCTCAGTACAGTGCTTATCTTACACAGCCACCACGCGCCCACGGACTGCCAGCAGAACAAACAAATCTATCCTGGACGAAGTGCAGTCAGAATGCTCTGTAGTACTGAGGATGACAAGACTTTGTCTCTCCTCTGGACATGTTGACTAGTCCCTGGGACAGGATATCATGCTTGGTCAAAAAAAGAGAGCAAGGTACTCAATGAGATGAACTGGCACAGTTGTATCAACAGTGAACTCAGACATAACATGTGCAGATGGCTCAGCATCAGGCAGTGTTTTGTTCTGTTGTTCATAGGGTCATTATGAGTCATAACCAGCTTGATGGTACTTAACAGGAACAACTCCATAGCAGCAACTAGATTAGTATTTGGACAAACACGTGAGTACTACGGCCCAGGCAAGTTGACACGTGGAATTCACCATCTTGGTGACAGAGGAGATAGAAAGTCTCCACTGGGCAGAGAAGGATGACGGTGGTCAGGCAACCTCAGCCCAGGAAGACTCCCTGGGGACAAGCTGGGCACTGTATCCTCTCTGCTTTCTCAATAGGGTCCCTCCTGCCCTTAAGTAAGAGTGCCTGTGAGTTCAATTACCTGCGAAGGAGGAGCAAATCCCAGATGATGAGTTCAATCACAGCCCAGACCAACCTGAGAAAGAAGCTGCCTTGGTACATCTCAATCATCCATGAGAAGGTAGGACCAAGGGAGTGGGGGCATCCTGACACGGATCCAGGCTACATTCACTCCATCTGTATCCTTCCAGTGCAGACACCCACCCACCCCATAGAGGGTATCCAGAACCTAATGTGTACTCAGTGTGACACCCTCCAGGGCAGCACGTTTCCTTCTACCCTGAACTTACAGTGGTCAGTCATCTACCATTTGACCTAATGACTGCACTTTGGAGAACATAGCCTAAAAAAAAAAAAAAATTGTGTACATCAGTGCATTGTGATTTTTATCTATGTTTACAAGAATCTACAATTCCTTTGCCTTGTCATTTCCTTGTAAGGTTTTGATGTCAAAGTTATTCTGGCCTCACACACAAAAAAGTTGTGAAGTCTTTCCCCTTTTTCTGTTCTCTGGATGAGTTTGTGTGAATTTGGTGTGATTTCTTCCTTAAACGTTTGAAGAATTCACTGTGGAAGTCAGCTGGATCGGGAGATTTCTAGAGATAAGGTTTTTCAATTCAGTTCCTTTGTTGTTGTTGTTAAGTACCATGGAGTAGTTTCCAATCCATAGCCACCCTGTATAGGGTTTCGAAGGAGAGGTTGGTGGGTTTGAACCTCCAACCTTGTGGTTCACGCTGCAGTGCCACACCAGGACTCCCAGTTTCTTTAAAAGATACTTAGATTGTTTTTCCTTTTGTGTCAGTTTTGGGAAACAGTGTTGTCCTAGGAATTTGTCAATTTTATATAAACTTTTGAACTGATAAGCCTAACCCTGTACAGAAAGAGCCCCTGGTGGCTCAATGGTTAAGTACTTGACTACTAACTGAAAGGTTGTCAGTTCAAACCCACCCAGTGGCTACATGGAAGAAAACCCTGATGATCTGCTTTACACATAAAGATTACAACAAAAAACCCTTGTGAGACAGTTTCACTCTGTCATATAGAGATGCAATGAGTTGGGTTAATAACAACAAACTCTGTGCCTAATATCCTCTTACGATCTGTTCAGTATCTGTGGACCACGTGGGGAGAGCCTCTTTTTCATTCTGACTGAGTAACCTGTGTATTCTATTTCCTTGATCAGTAATGCTATAGGCTTATCAATTTATCTATATTTATTATTTTATTGTGAACTGAGTGATAGTTTGCATGGAAGAACATTCACTTTACACCATCATTCCATTGCAATGATTACAGTCTCCTCCATGCATTATCATTCAACA